ACCACCACCGAGCACTGATTGATATAAAGAATATGAACAAAATGAGAGTATTATCAAGTGATGTTGGTCCTAATTCAGAATTTTCCCACACTAAGCTGTATAGAGTCCACAGATATCACCTTACCAGTACACAGAGCTCCTCTATTTCCTGTCATACTTAGTGAACAGCTTCTTAGGTTTGTGGATCAATTTTGACTCTGACATTGCTCACCACACAGCAGGCAGTAAGGCTGGTGCTCAGGCATTCAGTGTGCTACTTGCTGCTGCTCACATTCTCTGCTTGCCTGGAAAGTGCTGAATGTAAAGTGACTGAGCAGCCTTGAGGAAAACACTCCCAAACTCCCAAAGGCTGGATTCCATTTTCCAGGCACTGGAGGAGGCTGCCAGGAGCAACAGACAATGAACATCTGGACAGTCACAGTAGCAACTCAACACACGGGTTTGCAAGATCAGAAGCACCAGGAACCATTTCTGAGTCAAGCTGAAAGCAGCAGTAGCCAGGTGCTTGCTTTAGAACCAATGCTGCTCATGTGCTTTTTGCAGCCATCTGCTAGTATTATCACAGTATCACAGTATGTTAGAGATTGGAAGGGACCTCAAAAGATCATCTACTCCAATCCCCCTGCCAGAGCAGGAACACCTAGATAAGGTTACACAGGAATGTGTCCAGGCGGGTTTTGAATGTCTCCAGAGAAGGAGGCTCCACAACCTCCCTGGGCAGCCTGTTCCAGTGTTCCGTCACCCTCACTGAGAAGAAGTTTCTTCTCAAGTTTAAGTGGAACCTCTTGTGTTCCAGTTTGTACCCATTGCCCCTTGCCCTATCATTGTTTGCCACTGAGAAGAGCCTGGCTCCATCCTCGTGACACTCCCCCTTTATATATTTATATACACTAATAAGGTCACCCCTCAGTCTCCTCTTCTCCAAACTATAGAGACCCAGCTCCCTCAGTCTTTCCTCATAAGGGAGATGCTCCACTCCCTTAATCATCTTAGTTGCCCTGCGCTGGACTCTCTCCAGCAGGTCCCTGTCCTTCTTGAACTGAGGGGCCCAGAACTGGACACAATATTCCAGATGAGGTCTCACCAGGGCAGAGTAGAGGGGAAGGAGGACCTCTCTCGACCTACTAACCACCCCCCTTCTAATACACCCCAGGATGCCATTGGCCTTCTTGGCCACAAGGGCACAGTGTTGGCTCATGGTCACCCTGTCGTCCACCAGGACCCCCAGGTCCCTCTCCCCTACACTGCTCTCTAACAGGTCGTTCCCCAACCTATACTGGAACCTGGGGTTGTTCCTGCTCAGATGCAGGACTCTACACTTTCCCTTGTTATATTTCATCAAGTTATTCCCCGCCCAACTCTCCAGCCTGTCCAGGTCTCGCTGGATGGCAGCACAGCCTTCTGGCGTGTCGGCCACTCCTCCCAGCTTAGTGTCATCCCATTTTCCAAGCAGGAGACAGATGGAAGCTGCTTCTCAGTTAGGCAGCAATGGACACCAAGTCCTGAAGTTTTTGATGAGGCTCACAGCAGAATTAAGCTGCACTTGGAAAGAGGAGTGATTTCAGCTTGGGGTTTTGGTTCATTTCCACCCCTGGGGGAAGCAGAAACATGACTTTATCTGTACAGGAACACAGCAGCCAGCCATACTGCTTGTTATCCTCTTTTTAAGGCCAGAATAGATGGTTTCTAGCCAGGATAGATGATATACAAGAAAGTGTAAAATCCTCATCATGCACCTAATTATGCTTTACTACACTGTGGGGGGATATTTCCTTCTGAGTCCATCTGCTGATCAGGCTGTACCCTGAAGCACGTGGATTGATTGCCCTCATGTTTTTTTCTCCTACTTAAAGTAACTGCTGACTCTTTATCTTTTATTCGTATGAATGTTTAAGCCTTTCTGAAGCATTGAAAATTATGATTAATTGTTCAATGAAAATCAATAATGAAAGGGCTTACAAAGCCAGCTTGATTTGGGAGTGAATCCCAGACAGCTGCTTTTTCTAAGAGTGATGGAAGAAGTTGGAGAAAAGCAACAGCAAAAAATTCCAGATCCTGCTTTTCTGTGATGTTTGCCATAGGTTTAACCCCATCAGTATCTGCTGGGAACCTTATTATAGGCTTCTGTTACCAGTTCATGAAAGCAAAACCTCAAGTGCCTCAAATAAACAAGAATACTCAATTAAACAGAGGTGCATTGAAAAGTGAGAATGCTTTTACTCCTGTAACAGAATGCAGCTATTCCCACACCTCCAGGCCCACGACATTTTTCAAGGGAGATTATAGAGATAAAAATGAAGATCTGGTAAGGCATTTGCTATAGTGCCCCTGACAACAACACTTATTCCCTTTTGCACACTGGCAGCTGCTAGCGTTTTGCCTAGGGTTAAATATCCCTATTTTAGTCGATTTCCCAGAGGAGAGCATTTTCAGAACTCGAGCGAGGCACTCTCTGAACCTCCAGGCAGAGTGAGTGCCATCTCGCGGTTGATTTTACGTGCTGCACTGGTCCAGAGCTGGTGCAGAGGCTGGCTGCAGGTTGAAGCTCAGAGTGTTCCAAAACGCAACCTGGGGCACAAGGGGCTAGCAAAGGGGAGGGCTGTATGACAGGGTGCCTGGCTCCAGTGCTGAGGAGGAGGAAAAGAAGCCCTCTTCACAAAATATGCTTCGAGTAACAGTGTACATCACCAGAGCCTGAGCTACAGGCAGGTTTTGTTCTCCACAGACACCTCACCACTGAGAAATACACGATGTGTGAAAGCCTCCTCTCCCTGCCTCTCTCAGCAGGCTTCTCTAAAAATCCTACCCCTGTGCAAAAACTGAGTCGCTAAGGGCTGGTGAATGGGAAATACCTGAATAATCCCTTCTGTCTGGGGATAGCTGCTGCTTGCATTTGTTTGGAACCAAGGGAAAAGCCCCTCCTCTTACCCCTGTGCTGATACCATCTCCCATTCATCACTCGGAGCAAGGCTGTCCTCAGGCACGATAACCTGGCCTTTCCAGATCTACACTCTGTATCAAGCCAAAAATGGCCCCTTGCACTTTGCAAGCACGCATGAAACACACACAAAACACATGGCCATCCCACCAGAGAGAAATGCTGTTGTCTGCATTTCCCTCACTCTGGTTTACATCTGTGGGACTTTCAAGTAAGGCAACATAAGGGAAGAACAGCCACCTTTTCAGTGCCACCCCTCTTGAATGGCAACATTTGGTCCCATGCTGGGGAAGAGGAACAGCAGCATAGGGGTGTGGTATGCTCTGGTAACTCCCCCTTGCTGGGCAATAACCTGGGGTGACGTCTCCATTGTAACACCAGAGATGTTCTCCTTCTCCGCCAGCACTGGCAAATACTATGACTAGATGAAATCTATCTTAGGATGCTGCACCTTTCCCACCCTGTATTAAACACACAAGCTCATAAGAAGAACAGGGTGCCCAGATCTGATCAGGAGCAGGTTATGTACATCAGTACAGAAACAAAATAGTCTGCTTGCACTGCAGAATGCTAAAAGAGCCAAAGTTTGTGGGTATATGAGCAAAGGAAGACAATGACGGTTACTGCATTGAATGGGGAAAGTCATACTGGACCAGGCTGCAGGTCCAGCCAGCAGAGTCCCATCTTTGGTGGTGTCTTGGAGTGGTATGTTCAGAAATGACATTAGAAATAATTCTTCCTACTTTCTGCCATCTGCAGTATAACAATGTGGAGGATACATCCTTAATGAGCCCACAGTTTTGGGTTTTTTTACATCTGTCTCTATTTCAGCTCTATGATACACTCTCTCCCATTAGCACATGCATTACTAAAAGCAAAGACTACACATTTGGCTTTATAGAACATTTTATTTGGAGAGACTTCTCATGTCATTGAATATTGATTCTTTATTAAGGCAATTCTGGAGGGGCTGAAGGGGAGGGAGGGAGAAAGGGAGGGGACTGAGACTGTGTCAATGGGATTGCATTAAGGCCAAATTCCCTCCTTCCGCATTTCACCACAGTAAAATCCACATAAAGGCCAGAACAGTAAATTAATCATGCCAAAGAAGAGATTCAGTGCAAATATATCCCACTGACTACCCATGGACGGGGCCAGGTCCTTAACTGAGGCAAACTGACAGTGCCTTGTTAGCTGCAAAGCTATGCTGATTTAGCTCTGTTGAGGATCCCAGCCTGGGTTCAGGGAAGCATTTTAGTATATGTTTCATATGCAAGCACAGTTTTAATTGGCTCTCCTGAATCCAGGCCACAGTCCTTGGAGTGCAAGTCCGTGAAGTTATCAGAGTTTAATTTGTATTTACTACACAAGTACGTCACTTTGTGTTCCTTTGGTTCACTTCTTATCATATTGCTACTAACTGAGTGTATCCCCTTAGTTTCTTTAACATGGCTTTCATTTCCATCATGCTTCCCAATCTGCTTATATTTTAAGTGTATTATGACATAAAAATGAATTATCCATTGGAGAGCATTCCCTGCAAAGGTTCCAAAGTTTGGATGTTCTTGGAGGACCAGGTTACGATATATTTTTTTTCAGTGAGTAGTAATGTACTCTGTGAGTAATGCCTCTGACAGCAGAGGTGTAACTTGCAGGGAAAAGTACTGCTCTGTTCACATATCAGCAACACACTGCAGAGCCCAGAAACTTCTCTCTTTCCACAGAAATTTCCTAAGAGGATCCTACCATTCAAAAAGTACAGTCACTAATACTTGCATTGGCTTTGGGATACCTTTTTGTTATCCCAGGTGCAAACCAAAGGAAAGTATGGCAGAAATGCTACCAAAAGCATGAAGACGTTTTCAGGCGGAAGCAGTATATAACATTTCATAATCCTAAAAGCTGTCTTTATCTCCCAAAATGAAGATCTCCAGGTGAACTCTGACAGAATACCCTGGTACCCATTAATAAAAGTATGAAAACTTATTCAGGAGTATGAAATAGTTATATCTAGCGAAGTGGAAAATAAGGCAAAAAAAAAAAAAAAAGGTTGAGCACATACTACTGTTCAAAAGAAAACATTTCCTGGATACATGTGGATACACAACTTTAGTATGATCTGGAACCGTGTTAACATTCATGCCTTTAAAGCATGAGCACCCTGCATATTCCTTGATACGGAGAAGAGCATCCAGCAGTTTGAGGGAATCAAAAGGGTGAACACCAGGCATCAGTACAAGTATTTTGTGCTTTAAACTTTCTTCATGCCTTTTCCCATAAGGCAAGCAAACACTGTCATGACCATTTTGGGTTTTACTTCAACCAGGTCTTCTGGAAGGGCATAGACTCTTGCTCCAATTTTTCTTGCCATAGAGATAGCATACCTGCAATGCAGAGGTCAAACAAGCAAGCAAATTAGTGCAGTAGTATTAATTTTCCCTCTATTATGAAGCTTTTTACACAATTAATACCAGAATGAGTTGGGAACTTACTGATTCATCAAAAGTAAATTTTTCTATAGGAATGTATAAGCTTCAGAGAGGACTACATTTCTAGTAAAATTCCCAGATGGTAGAACACTGATTATCTGCAGCATGGGAGACTGCAGGTTGAATTTTTGTATGAAACATTTAGCTTCCCATCCCCTGAAAGATTATCCTCACCACCAGCCGTTCTGGCCTTGCTCCCCCTCGATCTCTGTGACTCAGTCTTTGCACATAAATATAGATTTATGAGGATGGAAAGCAGAAGACTGATGTTGGTGAAGATTGGAAATGTTGGTGCTGTTGGAAATCAACAGCTGATGCTGGTGCTGTTGGAAATCAACTTACAGGGACTTCTCTTCTGCCTGAGTCTCACCCAGAATTTGTAAGCTGAACTTCCCATCTCCCTGCTCAGAGTGCACTGTTGCACTGCTACTGGCTGTTCTATTTTTTTAACAAAAACCTAGAAAATCCAGGTTCTTCCTACTGCAGAGAACACACATTTGTGAAATTCTCGCAAAAATGCAGAGAAAGAGGGCTGGGACAACAGGGGGTAGGGGAGAAGAGATAAACATCAGCAGAGGGATGAAGAAATGAAGTATAGTTAGAAGCACATGTGGGATTGCAAGGAAAGAAAGAGAACAGATGGTAGGAAATGGAAAGGAAAAAAGAACAGTGGTATTTATAAAAACGATGGCAGTTCTGACTGTAGTTGCCACATAGCAAAATAGAAGCTAAACTGATGATGACTGGGAAGTGATCTGTGTAACTCTGAAAGGAAAGGGAGAAGTCCCCAGCATTGGCTCTTTGCTGGATTTGCACTCAGGAGAAAAAATCAATATCCACACTCATAAACCCGGTTTTTCAGGCATGAATCCTGTTCTCCCCCTTCTCTCTTAAATATGCCCTTGTTCCACCTGTATGTGACTAAAGAGGTATCCTGACCTCTAATCACTGGTTTCCATGGCTCACTATTGTTGGCATTGTTCCCTGATCTCTGAAAGAGTTTTAAATTTAATAAGAGAAAATAGGGGCTTGTGAAGCCAAGTGATTTTGATCCCTTCAAGGGAATTATATAGCAGGAATTATATATAACATCACACACTTCATTTCCATTGATAGTCTTTTTTACTGCCTAACTCCTAGCCTTCATGCTTCTAACTCTGGAAGTACTAGCTGAGGTTGTGCCAGATGAGAATGATAGCAGAGCAGTTTTCAAAGACAGAGCAGGTAACTCATGTAAGTGTCACTTGGCAGAAACATACTTCGCATTATTCAGTTTCTCCTCATCATTCAGGTCCTCTGTTTTCAAGAGGTCATATTTGATTGATCCTGGTTGAATGGCATCAATGAGATCCAGGACTGGCATGCTGGTGCTGATTTTGCTATCCTGCATAGATGAAAAATACAATTAGATGCAAAAACAGAATGACAGATCTCCCATAAAGCCTGAGTCTAGGATCAAGAACAATGGACAGCTCAGTCAAATACCATTTAGATCTTCACAAAGGGCTGTTTAGCATCATTTTTCATCTAAGCCAGACTAAGAACCATTTAAAGGATTTATGTTTTGTTTGGTTTTGGGGTTTTTTTCCCAATGGATAAGACATCATAGAATCATTTAGGCTAGACCGAGTCTAACTGTTAACCTAACGTGGCCAAGTAAACCACTAAACAACGTCACTAAGTGCCACATCAACACATCTTTTCAGTACAACCAGGGATGTTGACTACATCACTTCCCTGGGCAGCCTGTTCCAATGCTTGACAATCCTTTCAGTGAAGAAATTTTTCCTAACATCTAATCTACACCTCCCCTGGTGCAACTTGAGGCCATTTCCTCTTGTCCTATCACTTGTTACCTGGGACAAGAGAGATCAACACCAACCTTGCTGCCTATTTCTCCAGGAAAATGCTGTGGGAAGTAGTGTCAAAGACTTTACTAACATCTAGGTAGACAACATCCACAGCCTTTCCCTCTTCAATCAGGCAGGTCACCTTGTCATAGAATGCAATGTCATTAAAGAAAAAGATGGAGTGCTGGGCTAATGAACTTGTTTTCTATGGGGAGATGATGCTGATACACATCTGCTGATGGGAGGTGCAAGGGGACCAGCTGTGTGTCTCCTGAGCTCATTATGTGAAGTCTGATGGATCTGTCCTTGCCTCGTGCAAGCTGCTGATTTACATCTATTGAGTGTTCCCCAACTTGGAAAATGTTGCAGATGTGTTAGAAAAATTAAAAGCTCTCTGGAATTTGTCTGGCCCTTTGTTTATATGGTACCTTGCAAAATAGAGTGAGGTACCCCCGAATGGTCTACCTGATTATAAATGTATTGTTATTGTTGTATGTAATACTGTCGTTTGTAATTGCTGTTGTTTAATAATAATTGACAGCACAGCAATTCTTGCTTAGTTCCAGGTGTCATTCCTGCCCCTGTACTCTGGTTTTCAGTGTCAAACTGGCATTCAAAGTGTTTCCTGTCATGTCCATATTATGTTTCTCTTAACTTTTCATAATAAAGCCCCTTGAATAAAATCTGTATATCTGAACATGCTTTTAAAAGGGAATAAAAAATGACCAAACTATGTAGTTAACTATACAAAAAAATGTAGTCTGTGCATGTATATGCATATATGCATCTATATACAGGCAACATATGTAACATAACAGACACACTAGTTAAGAGATTCTCTAGCAGAGACTTCTAACAAAACAATATACCTTGAAACTGGAGATGGTTGAATTCTTCCCAGCTGCAGTCAGTGTTTCATTGACCCAGCTGACAATGATTTCATCATTGACCTTCTCTCCACCACCAATGTCTTCAAGGATATTCAGGGTGTACCTTAAGAGGGAAGCCAGGATATCTGCATTTGCTCAAAGTCTACCGTAACCTCAGAACCATCCTGTATGTGTGCAGCTTGACAGACATCACCCCAACAGTCCTCTTAGAACTGATATTGCCCTGCTTCCCACCCTTCAGAGCATATACGAATTACACTGTAATGTGATAATTGATCTAATGGGTCTAATTCATCCCCAGTTCCCTTATCACTGCTTTGCAGGTGTCAGAAGTGTTTTGATTTTCAGAATTGTAAAAGGTCCCTTTTAGTGGATCTTGGTGTACGTAACTCATTCTCATAGTGCTTAAAAAAATGATCACTGGCTTTAAGGCCATAAAAGAATCATTATGCTCATCTAAGACTGACCTTCTGCATAAATACAAGCCTGGAATATTTTGCTTATATGTCAATATACACCTTGGAAAGACATCCAAAATTGATGGCAAGTAATCTCATCCCTAGATTAATTAACTGCCTGATAAACCTGTACCTTGCTTTACAGGCTGAATTTAGTCTGTGTTCAGTTCCTAAAGACTGGGTCTCTTTACACAAAGTTATGGAGCTCTAAAACATGTACACAAACACACACATACACAGAGAATTACATTAAAGTGGGGAGAGCTATTTCATTGCATCTCCTTCAGGTAGCAGATTACAAACCTTCTTCATCAATTCCTTGTTTCCAGTACATTCTTCCCATTCTCTGATACAGAGACCATCAATTTATTTTTTTCTCTTTCATGCAATGAACATTTATTCATGCTATACAGACAGTGGCAATAATAATATTCTACATGAGTTGCCTGTAATGGCCTTGCCCACAAGATGATGTGCTTCCTGATTGCATCCCTAACTAGGAGCAAGCAAAAGGTTGCTCTGTCTTTGAATATAAGCGCAGAGTAGTTAGAAAGCATGTCGAGCCTTCTCAGTGATAGCAGCAGGAGACTGTCACAATGCAAACTGAGTATATAGTTTGCAGTTTGTGTCTGGCTGCCATACCTTCTCATCAACTGCCAGATTAAGGCCAGCGTGAGCGTACGGTTTCCTTCATTCAGATCTTGCCCAGCAATGCCAACAAGGGAAAATTTGGCTTGATTCTTTCCCAGTTCCACTGCATAGTTGCAATTTTCAAGCTGTAAATGACAGGGTCAATTAGTGCAGCTCAAAAATATAGAAAAAAAAAGAAGACAAGGCACTGTTACTTTAAATTCTTTTGGTTGCTTAGTCCTGATCCTCCTGGGCAAAAAGAAGCTTTGAGGCTCTGTGATAATACAGCTGTTTGACTATCAGTAGCTGGTTCCAAAACACCATGGTAAACAGTTAACATAGAAGGAAATGTTATACTTCACCATCAGGACCTGAAAAACTGATTTCCCTGGATAATATGAATCTATGGCTCATGGGTACATCCAACATCACAGCATTGCACTGAGATAAAGGATTACTGTCCCAGTCAATACTGTGGTCAGTTAATCACTCTGGCTTAACTGGATGGAATTACTCATCCAGATAGCTGGGAGAAAGCTTTGTATTTAGCATCAACTCTGTGATCAGTTCTTGAGGCATCTGGTCAAGAATGCTTATCATCACTGTCTTCATTTGATGTGGAGCGCAGTGATCCAGACAGCTGCAATTAAGCTGGTGTCATATGACTTACAGTGAAGATGCATTATAATTGGTGACTAAGACAGTAGCAAAAGTGGCCTGCAAATACATTTCTTAAATATTGACACCAAAGCTGCTGAGTCTTTTTTCTTTAAAAAAATTATTCACCTGTCAAAAGAGCTCATGAGTCAAAGATACGTTTTTTTTTCAGGATGAATAATTATTCCCTGACTAGACAAAAAACATCATTTAATGTGCTGTACTTGGGACTCGAGAGCAATGCAAGTGCTCATATTGCTGTTTGAAATGATATAGACATCCTTTGAGGATAGAGCACCGCTACTGGAACTATTCCAACTTTTTTTACCTTCTTCATGTTGCCACCCAGTTTAGGATATGGTGGTTTGTTCACTCTGTTCCAGTCTACTGGTACTTTGATCTTTTCGTAGAGCTGGAAGATGACCAAGGCATCTGACAGGTCACTGAAAACAATAGAAAAGATGTATCATTGCCAAAGATTAGAGGAAAGGAATCCAACTAAATTATTAGTGGAGGTAAAGATAATTTTCCATTAAAAAAAAAGGCAAAGCAAAAAAGCAAACAAAAAGAGCATATATTCTTAATATACTAATAGGGTCCAAAAGTTTTCGGGTTTTAAGCAATTTGGTGGCCAAATTTATTATCTGAAGAAAGTGTAATACCTCTTCTTACCTATATAAATGATTTACACGTGGATTAACACCCAGAGAGTTCATCCAGTTCCTGAATGTCCTCTCTTCCCTTGTCTCACCTAAAACAACAGATACATCAATCAACAGGCCTGTAAAACACAATGCTCCAGTAAAATAAGTGTCCTGTGATGAAACCATAATTCAGAATTTGCAGTGCACTGAACCATAAACAGAAGGAGACACTGGTTGACATGTGAAATAAGAGAGCATGGTGCAGCATGTAATATTTCTTCATGCCCTATATATTATGGCATTTAGACAGATTGGCCTTGAAATGCCTTCAAGAAATCAAGAACAGCCTGTGCCCTAGCATGAACAGCTTCACTATGAGGCTGAAAAAGAAGGACCTGAAGCTCAGCAAATGATCCATACAGCAGTAGCCCTGACCCAAACCCAGAGTAAGCAAGCAGCAGGTTTATGCAAGATCTGAGCTTTAAATTATTCTCTCAGTTAAGGGAATGCCAAATCAACCCTAATTTCAACTAACCAGCACAGTCAATAGTCTGCACTGGTTTAGATATCCCACAGATATTTTTGTCTTTTAACATACGCTATCCACAGAACAGACCTCCAAAATACAAGAAGCCACATGCAGAAGAAGAGCAGCCTCCCTTTCTCTAGGCTGCCTGTGCTAATGGTGCAGTGACTGTATTTGAAGGACATGAGGTTAGGTTAACATATCATCAACTTGGAGCCAGGAATACTGTGGCACTGGTGTCCAGAAACATCCTTCATTTGCATTCTCCTCACCTTCAATAGAGCTCCAGTTGATGTCCTGGTTCTCTGGCTTATGAAGGGCAGGGTATTTGTTAAACAAGTTGGCGATGAAGGCCAAGTTTAGCTTTGGGTTCCCCCGCACAACGTCGGTGGCGGTGACGAACTGCCGGCAGCCCAGTCGCTCTGCCTGCTGCAGCATGCACTCTGCTCGCTGGACATCATCCTTCTCCTGCTCCAAATAAAAATGGGATCATCAGCTTCACCCCATTGCCTTGCACTGCACACGAGAACTACCCGGAGCTGACATGGAGCTGCAAGTGAGGATGTTAAAGCAGGTCCTTGTTGGATTTATAATTATTTCCCTTCCCACTTTTACAAACATTGGGTCTGGGTTTCCAAATGGGCGTTACCTGCAATCCAGCCATCTCACCCTAATGCTTTTACAGTTATATTCCCTGTAAAGGCAGATGGTTTGATGAAATTCACAAAGAAATATATTGAAATATACTTGTTACATGTTAGTTTATCGGTGTCATTCAATGGTTGTTTGAGTTTCAGCAATAATATCTAATGAAAACACACCATTTAATTCATTGAAAGCTTTGATTTCTGAAATACAAGATCAAGTTGCAGTGCTCAAAAGAGTTTCCTTGTTCTGGCATCCCAGTGCAACTCTGTGTTGGCCAGCAATGCAAGTGAAAGAAAATATCAGCATTTACTTTAAACTTATCTCATTTTACCCTTAATCCTGACATGTCAATAGTAATAGCCGGAATGCCTTCTTCATCTCCCTTGGGGGCAACCTGGTTCAGCAGATGGTAATAAGCTCTTGAGTCCTGTGACAGAGAAATTAAAGGGAGGAAAAATTACATCTAAGGCTCAGGTACTGTATGCCAATGCTCCTCTGAACAATGTGCCTGCGTGCTTCATTTTTATTGCATCAATCTTTGGGCTACATAATTAAATTAATTAAGCCAGAAGCATTTAGCAGTTCCTACTTTATGCTGTATTTGCCAGATCTATTTCTTCTCAAAGCCAATATATATATACGCTGCAGAACGCTCAGTGCCTGAGATAAAATGCTGTGTGTTGCACTTACTTACAAAAAGGACAGCAACAACAAAAAGGTATTAGAATTGGCTTAATCTGAACATTAAATTACAGATAAGAAAATGCGTACCTTTATAATGCTGTAGAAGTCAGGCTGCTGAGCATTTAATAAAAGAAAATGCAGAAGGAGAAAGCAGATGTTTAAAGCGGATTTCAAAGAAATGCTGGAACAGTTATGGAAGAGAAAGCATAGTTTTCAAGAACAAAAGTTAAAACCAACAACAGTATCAGCATTTTTCAGGCAAGAGGGCAGGAAAAAGACAAGGATTTAACATGTTGTAGCTAATCTTTTGTGAAATGTAATGTTACTTCCGCATATGGAAAACATTAATCTCACTTCAGTAATAAGTGAAAACAAAGCTACATGTTAGTATGTAGGGACTTGACTAACTAACTCAACTAATACTCTTCAAAATATAGCTTTTCCCATGCTATGGTGGCAGCAGGCAGGGTGGGTCATGGCTGGTGAGGCTGGTGTGCTGGCCATCCCCTGGCTTTCCTGGAAGCTCAGACACCCTCCACTACAGCCCTAGGATGCTGGCCGTGCCTCACACTGTAGCTTTAGCATCTGAAACTCACCAGAATGCACCACTGAGGTTCAAATATATTTGCATAGGAAGAGTAAAGATCCTACAGAAAAAGCTCTGCTGAAATTTGCACTCACAAGCCCATGAAGTCCCAAGTACATGACACATGCTGCATGGACTAGAGACCCATCCTTGCAAGTGCCTCCCTATCTAGCTATATTATTTTGAATAGTCCCACAGAATTAAAATGTGGAGGTAAGTGCATGCAGGGACAGAGCAAAGGTTGGGACACAGGAGCACATAACCCAGGTGCTGTACTGAAGGAAAGATCAAGTGGAGGAACTAGAAGATCCCCATCCTCTTCTACACCTAGTTACATGTCTGAGTAAGGTCTAACTTTTACAAACTAAAGCCAGGTCAAGAGGCATTTAAGGACTTTTGGAAAGGAAAGCAATAGAGACAGGGAACTGAAAATACAGTGGTAGAGTCCATATGCTGTGCTGAGAACCAGCAGCCATTTTTTTCCTAGGCATGTGGTGTGCTGGGGCTTTGAGGTCAGGAGGAGGAGGAATACTACTAAGCAGAAAGGTAAACCATACTAAAATGATTTTATTTGTCTGGCCCCATTTATTTGGCAGAGCAGTCTCAGCTGCTTGGATTGGTTCAGTGAACAATCCCCTTTTGGAGAAGAGGGATTTGGATTTGGAGCTGCTGGTTTGCTGTTGTTGGTCAGTGTTTCTTGTACCTTGATGTCTGAGCTGAAGTTGCTGACTTTGTTGCATCCTGCATTCTCCAGGTGATAGTTTGCCCATCTCAGCAGCAGTTCCTCTGGAGACAACTTCATCAGATCCTCCAGGCTCTCTCCTTCTCTCAGAAGAGCAATCAAGGCTAAGCAGGGAAAGAAAAATGATGCTGTGAATACTTACAGAGGAGAATGTATAACTATTTTATCTCAAATTTTGCTACCCCAAGTTTCTAAAAGAGAGGGACCAAAGTGTTGCCAAAATTCAAGCTAAGTTAGCATGACAGAGGACATAAAGAGGAAAAGGGTTTCATCAATAAAATGGGGACAAGGCTGTTGTGGATCTAGTAATGGATCAGATAGAAACACAAACCGAATTCAGTGTGCTTTAAGAACTACCCTATTTCCTTGCCTCAGATCTTAATTAAAGACAATCATAGAATTGTAGAATAGTTTGGGTTGGAAAGGACCTTTAAAGGTCATTTAGTCCAACCCCCCTGTAATGAACAGGACATCTTCAGCTAGATCAGGTTGCTCAGAGCCCTGTCCAACTTGACCTTGAACACTTCCAGGGATGGCACATCCACCACCTCTCTTTGAAACCTGTTCCAGTATTTCAGCACCCTCACTGTAAAAAATTTCTTCCTTAGATCTAGTCTAAATCTATCCTCTTTTATTTTAAAACCATTACCCTTGCCCTGTCACAACAGGCTGTGCTAAAATGCTTATCCCCATCTTTCTCATAAGCCTCCTTTAAGTACTTCAGGCTGCTGAAGTCTCCCTAAAGCCTTCTCTTCTACTGACTGAAGAACCCCAACTCTCAGCCTTTTCTCACGGAGAGATGCTTCACCCTTCTGAACATTTCTGTTGCCCTCTTCTGGACCCACTGAAACAGTTTCATATATTTTCTGTGCTGAGGATTCCAGAGCTGGATGCAGTGATATTGAGCACAGGGGCAAGATGGGAATGAAAAAATGAACACAGAGTTTTTTCATCTTAGATGAAATCTCAGTAGCATTTACACTGAAACTGAATCCACACAGGTATTCTGAAGAACTTGCACATAACTTCATGAGCTCATGGGCCAGTAGGGTTAACTCATCTGGCAATCGGAGAAGATATCCTATTTATATAAAATATTAGCATAGTAGTTACATTCATAAAAGAAGAAAGAGGCAGGAGGGAAGGATCCACTCTCATAAATGCAGGATTCCTTGAAAGAAATATGGACTTGCTACAGAAAGGAAACTATAGCTAGAGTTCCACAGATAATTTGATATAGGGTACTATGGGGTTAAACTGAACCAGAAGGGGATAATAAAAGGATTTGGAAGTGGACGGTGTATTTTATGAAGAGAGAAACATTAACACTGAAGTAGGGTGAAGAAGTATTCTTGTGGAGGTGGATCATAGATTGATTTTTTTATTAATATTTTCATCTCTTTTGCATCAATTACCTTGGCACATATACTAGCAATGTGCTAAAAATTTGATGATGATATTCACTAGGTGGCATAGTCAATACAGAGGATGATCAGGAAATCAGACAGAAAGAATTAGATGACAGTAATAAAAAATGGAACATAGTTTAATAGTGCCGTGTTCAAAGACATTCACTAGGGAATTAAATAACTGCTGTTAGCTAAAAGCTTATATGAACAGAGGATGAGAGCAACTTGAGTGTATTAAATGTCTTCTGAGCTACTCTGAGCCAGCATGTGATATGGCCAGGGGAAACCCAAACATGGTATTAGTGCATGCCACGTATTTCCCACAGAGGTTGGGATGTATTACTGCCTTGATACCATGTGCTTATGAGAGCTCATTGGAAATACAGTGTCCCATAGTCAAAGGTTATCAGGACAAGCCAGAACCTGAAAAGTAATCAAAATTATCTGGGCTTGTCTATCCTGACAAACTTCAATCTGAGATGAGAAGTGAAGGAGAAAATACCATAAATGGAAAAATAGCTTTTTAAGCAGGGTATGTCTACCTATAAAGGAATGGGAACTGATGGCTCTGGCTATGGAAGGGATATAAATGTGCAAGGAGTGAAGCAATGAAGGTAACACCTGCACAGGAACTGGAGGAAAGCAGTGTCACTTGGTTGAGTGGACTATCCAGAGGTGAAGGAAACAAAGCAGTGAGGTAAGGTGCCATGTGGATCGCATGTACATAATCACAGCCTCACACTGAAAATATTTCAGAGAAATCTGGCATTGCTAAGTCACAACTGGAGTGCTGTGTCCAGCCTAGGACTTCCCAGTACAAGAGAGGCACTGACAAACTGCAGCAAGTTTAGTGGAGAGAAACCGAGATGGTTCAGATGTAGTCCATGATACGTGAGAAGAGGATGAGAAAACTAAGTTTGTTTACCCTGAAAAGAGGTCTGAGAAGGGAATAAGTATTAACTTCAACAAAAGAGGGGCCAAAATTGCATTTTCCCAGTATGCACAGCAAAAGAATAAGAAGTTGCAGTCACAAGGTGCAGGAAAGGAAATTCCAACTAGATATAAGGAAAAAAAAAATTCACAAGAGTGGTTGGGCTTTGGAATAAGCTGCCCAGAGAGCACTGGAAAAGGTCCTGAACAACCTCACCTAACCTTGAGATGGTACTGCTTGAAGTGGGTGGTTGGATGGCTGAACCAGAAGACATCCAGGGTGGACCTCCCGAGGTTCCTTCTAGCCTAAATTAGTCTCTGATCCTATAATTCTGATTTCATAAAGAAAGAGGAGATGTTTGACAACCAAGAGCAAGAAAAGAGCAAAGCTTTCTAAATGCAGTGTGGCATTTCCTTATCCCAGGTTTAATGCCAAAACACCAATATACCTGGGTGTAGACCATCATTCCTGACCTAATGAGCACGAAACTCGCTGTGCACATACAAGCCTACACATAGCCTTGGACTTTGGAGTGCTGGAACTTGTGAAGAGCAAGGGAAATTAGCACAGGCAAGAAGACAGGCAAAAAACACTTGAAGAAAAAATTAAATCAAGATTTTTTAAAAAAGAACTTTATCCTAAAGGCTGTTCAGTGATAGTAGTAGGGCACTGAAATGAAGAGCCATACATACCTTCATTCCTGCTGATCTCTATGTCAGCAAAGAGTCCAATTTTAATGACTTGCCATAAAAGACCCAACACCAGGTAAGGTTTCCCTTCTTTTAAGTCTTCAGCTCCAATGTTAACAACATGGCACCCAATGGCTGAAGCAGAGTTCAGGGCGAGGTTCAGATTTTCCTAGGGAAAGAAGAGAACTTCTGAATGATGCAGCAACTGGAGAACTGAGGACACAGGAAGGGAGGACAGACAAAACCGGTGAAATAAACAAGTAGCTTCACTGTGAAGAATCACAGAACCATAGAAACATAAAATCATAGAACAGTTTGGGTTGGAAAGGACTTTCAAAGGTCACCCCCTGCAATAAACAGGGACATATTTAGATAGATTAGGTTGCTCAAAGCCCTGTCAAACCTGGCCTTGAATGTCTCCAGGGGTGGTGCAGCCATCATCTCTCTGAGCAGCCTGTGCCAGTTTTTCACCACCCTCATTGTAAAAAGTTTCTTCCTTCTATCTAGTCCTAATCTATCCTCTTTTAGTTCAAAACCATTACCCTTGTCCTATCACAACAGGCCCTGTTAAAAAGTTTGTCCCCATCTTTCTTATAATCCCCCTTTAAGTATTGAAAGTTCTGGGTTCCAATGTGAAGATGGAAAGGAGTTCTTTGGCAAAGGTGAAAGACACGATGTCACAAGGCATTGGAGCTGAGATCATACAGATGTATTCATAGAGATGTCTGGGCTCAGTCCTGGTTATCAAACCCCAGCTCTCCCTACAGCTAATGCATAGGCAGATGCTCAAGTGCAGCCTTAGCTTTAGCATGGGGCAAGCTATCCACCCGTGTCTTGCACACATGGAGAAATAAGGGAGCTACAACCCAATCAGCCATCAGATATTCCAGGCTCATCTCTCTTTAAGCACTATGCAAAAGACCTAATACCTAAGATAGAAATAAGTTGCTAGCTAGCAATGTGTATAACCAGCATATGTCATAGAAGTCAGTATGGATGAACCTGCTGGGTTTTCAACCTTGACATTCAGCCAAGGTCAGAACCAATCAAGTCTGGATATCTTCTCCATGCTCCAAAATCCATAATCTGGAGCATGGAGTCCTGGCTTCGAGCGTCCAGTGGAAGTGGAGGGATTCTGTCATTCACAGTGAGGGGCAGAAAGAAACTGATGTTTCAGGAACATTATGTTCCTTTGCCATTTCCTTCCCATTTATAAAAAAGGGTATAAGAAAATCTGGTCTGCACTATTCAGAAAGGTGACTTGGTAAACACAGGGCAAGTAGAGAGGGCAAAGAAGCCTGGAAAATACAATTTATCACACAGATCTGCAATTTTTCACATGAGTTTCAGCACCGCTGGCATGACAGAGATTTGATTAGGTACAAAATGCAGAGAGAGACATAGTGTAAATTCTCATAAGGTAGAAATATTGGAGCATTTCCAATTAATTACCTTTTCTCCACCAGAGAGCTTTAAAAGGGTTAAGTTAAAGTGGAAGCTTTATTGATCAAATCATGTCTATGTGTGACAGGGATCGATCTGAGCTGCATCACTAAGCTATGCTGCTGACCAAAACGATTAGAACTGAAAAATGTGGTATACAGCATAAAAATCCAATTTAATGGCTTCTGAGCTTATTTGAGCCTGGCTAATGTTCCATCAAATCAGAGTAGCTGAGGGCTAAACTGGGTTAGGTTTGTATCTCTTCTATATATCTATTTATATTCTGTATCCAGATATGTAGGTGCTGTTCCTATAAAAATATATCTCTACATATTGTTGTGTGAACTGGTAAACATAATATATTGGGCAAACACAAACATAGTTTGTTTAGTCAGATTGCTCATAGGTTTGGAAAGAAACAGAAATATAAATCTTCATGGTTTTAGGATGTGGACCTGAGCATCTCACTTTGCCATAAAAAACTTTGATTGTGTTGGGCAGGGCCACGGTATCTCCAGCCTTTGTGCTAAGTGATTACATCAAAGCATCCGAAGGGGAAAAGCAAAGAATCTTGTTGTATTTTAGTACCTGTATTGTGAAGGGTGTGAGTTTCTTTTTGTTGATTGTTCTCTCATCGATGGTATCTGGCACTGAGAAATTGATCATCTTACTGGAAATAAAAGAAGAAACAACAAGAAATACATTACTAGATATGTGAACACAAAATACAGTTTTTATCACTATGCTGTAGGACAAGTCAAAGAGTTGGAGTGTTACTGAAAAAATATAGACAGCCTCTGTTTTCCCAGGTACACACAGGCATGCATGCAAGAAATTCTTCTGGGTCATGTGCAGGTTGTACTATAGGTGTGAGGCAAAGAATGCCACAAGGGGAAGTTGTGTGAGAAGTTTATTGTGCAGAAAGTTTCTGTGAAAGCACTCACTATCTTTTGCTGCTTTGTGTGAAGCCCCAAAAGTCCTTGCACAAAAATAAATCCAAGTGACTCCTCAAATTTCACCAAATTCATCTTATTGCAAGGGCCCATAGGAAAGGAGAAACTCTCATTTAACATAAAAGAAGCTTTATATTTGTGAAGATAAAAGAAGGAAAATCCCCTAGCATTATTAAGGCCCTGCATCTGCAAAGATTCATGATCTTGATGTAAGGTCAGTAGTTTCCCATTAAGCAGAGACGTGAGTTTCTGCAGACTCATGGTTCCCAGTTGTGAGAAAGATAGGTATCATTTACCAAAGCACTATGCCATCACCAACTGCCTGGAAGAGGTCATCTGTTTCTGGATTCATCGGGACCACATGCTTACAGTCAGGATCCTTCTCAAGGGCTTTATTAATCCAGTTGACAAAGGCATACTTTTCTTCCTCTGTGAACACAACATCAAATCAATCAGCTTGCTGTTGCAATACTTCTAACATCGTTTCATTTACAAAGGCAGAATATCTGGGGGAGAAGACTCACCCACCAGTGTGACTGGAGGAGTTTGTTGATCAGTCTGCCTAATCAACAAACTCCTACAATGCTCTGAGGAGACAGGCAAATAAGCTGAAGGCAGCAATGAGCTTGGGCTGGTTAATACTCCTTCCATACTCCCTCCCACTGACTGGGGTTGCTTGGTGCCATGAGAATAGGTGTATTATAGACGCTGGTAATGAAGTTCATGTGATTCAACTGTATGTTGCAGCTGCTATGCTCTACTAAGTGTAATTTGTAGTTGCACCAGAATTTTAATGCATTGTTGTATCATTTTGCTAAATAAAAATCCCATGTAACTTCAAGTAAGTTTAAATGGTGAATTCTGTGTTGTATATTACACCCTCCACATGTTAAATATCTAGAAGAGCCTGGCCAGGATTGGACTCTCCCAAATAGTATTTAGAGGATAGTGGGCAAATATTCCCTGTAGTCCAACAGGGCTACCCTGTACCAGCAGCATTTGCAGGGGCTCCAGTAACTCAGAGGTGTCCTTTGTGTTCAGGTGGGTGGAGACCTTGGAAGCATTTGTGATGGTGTGCTCCCCTCACCCCCAACCTGACCTTTATTTCTTCTCTATAACTCTGCTCAAGCGATAACCATCAGAGATAGTGGTAGTGGGTCATGGTGGCCATATCAGAATCATATCAGAAGTGGATACAGGGGAGACAGGTAACAACACAATAGCCAAGGGTAATTTGAATAATGTGAATCACTACCACAACATATTTGTTCCTAGTTGCTATCAGTGTAGGCCAGCTATACCTACCTGAGTAAGAGTGTTGTGTGCCGGCACTGGACTGCTCGGATGTCCCACCGATGGCACAGATCCCCTCCTTTTTGTTGATTTGCTTTCGGAACGACTTAGCAACATCATCACTCTTCAAATTTTGGAAAATCTTTCAAACACAAGAGACAATTATGAAATTTCAGAGAACTAAACCAAGTTAAACCAGTTTGTTCTTGGGCCATGAGACACGTCCTCTCTGCTTCATACATAGGGAAGCACAGCTTGTGTATTATTCAGTGGGTTTCTGTGTAAAATTTGTGTATCTGCCGTGGCAGAAAAGGATCATACAAAACTTCTATGTTTTATGTGAACAAAGATCAGCTAAGTAACAGAAATGTATATGGCATGAAACCATGGAGCTAAAATGTAACAATTTTAGCTTGAAGAAAGGACAAGCAAAAATCTACTTCTCCATCCCGAGGGGAATTCCACTGTTTTAGCATTTGGTTTTACCCCAGTTCAGGCCAGAAAAACAAAAAAAAAAGCCCCATAAATTTTCCAGTTTCAATCTGATGACAAGTTTTTGTAACCGTTGTCCTGGGTTCAGCAGTAGCAGTCATTTTTCTCCTTCTTAGTAGCTGGTGCAGTGCTGTGGTTTTGACTTTCAGCATGGGAACAGTGCTGGTAACACCAATGTTTTTAGTTGCTGCTCAGTAATGTTTACTATGACTGAGGACTTTCTGAGTCTCATGCTCTGCCACAGAGGAGGGGAAGCTGGGAGGAAGCAGAGACGGGACTCCTAACCTAAACTAGCCAAAGGGGTATTCCATACCACAGCATGTTGTGCCCACTGTATAAACTGGGAGGATTTACCTGGAAGGCCCAGATCAGTGCTCAGGTCAGGCTGGGTATCAGTCGGTGGGTGGTGAGCAGTTGTATTCTCTTCCCTTGTTATTCCCCTTATCATTATTATTATTGGTGATAGTAGTAGTGGTTTGTGTTATACCTTAGTTACTGGACTGTTCTTATCTCAACCTGTGGGAGTTACATTCTTTTGATTCTCCTACCCATACCTCCAGGAGCGGGTGAGGGGAAGAAGGGGGAGAGTGAGCGAGTGGCTGCGTGGTTCTGGGTTACTGGCTGGGCTTAAACCATGACAACCATTTAGCCAGAACATAAACCTTTTTCAACTCATAACTGTAAAACTTTATCCAGCTAAATCAGGCAAACTGAAAGTTATGAAGTATATTCAATATGCAGCTGTGTTCATGCAACTTGTCCCAGTTAATTGAAGGATTTCTAGTTGGGTTACCTCTTTCTTTCATCTTTTCCAGTGAGGGGACTCCTTGGATAAGCTAGATACCCATGCAACCCCGTGCCCTGTGCTTGTGCCTCTCATGTGCCCTAGAGAGCATCTTCAGTATTCTGCATGGCATCTTACTTACTGAAATAAATTCATCAAAACTGATCCTGCCATCCCCCGTGGTTGTCAAATTTTGAATGAGTTCTCTGACTTTATATCCTGGGAGAGGGAGATTGGCTGCTTTCAACACATCTGTTAAATCGTTGGTATGGATGAAGCCATTCCCACTGACATCTGCAAAGATTCAAGCAAACATTTATATTCTACATCAGCCCAATGAAATGTACAAAAAAGGCTGTTGCATTGATTTTACCTGGGGAAGGGTATGTTATATATAAAAATTTATTATCCTGAAACCCAGTATTTTCAACCGCTGTTCTGTCATTCGCACCCAAAAAAAAATTACTATCACCATTTAACAAACAAAAACCAACAGTGATGAATTTATATGTTTTAGACATATAGCAATACCTTAACAAAGCTAGGTTTAGATGCATGTAATTACTTTCTGAGGTTATATATAGACAAACATAATTTAAAGAGGGAGTATCCTGTCTACAGAGCAGCTAAAGAGAATGGAATTCATGCTGTACGTAGTTCCACTTTATGCATACATATATTCACAGGTATAGTGTGATTTTGGCCTATTTCCAGTATCATCAGAAGTCATGAGTTTAGAGGTTTGGAACTGCATATGGTCATCCTTAAAATAAAAGCTTGGGTATTTCTCTGAGATGGTGCTAAACAGATAATCCTGCCGAGCCAGCTGCAAGATCCAGGGTAGGATTTTATGAGAAGATCACCAATACAGGTTACATAGTTCTTTCTTTGCCAGTTTGTGTAAATCTCCACAGATAAAGAAGAAAACTGAATCTATCGCAGGGAGAGGTTTTGTTGAAAAGCCATGCTTATGTACATGGTTATGTACCTGTATATGTTTTTATGCTTACATATTTATATTTGTGTTTTATGTATCTGTGTGTTTCTTCTTCTGCAGATTCTTTTCCCCTAGCCCAGAGGCTGAGGTGATTTCAAAGAGGCATGTGTAATTTCCTGTGTGGTAAGTTGCAACATGAGTTGCTCATTGCATGCTTCAAAAAGGCACTTGTCTTTCAGCATCAGTAGCATGGATCAATGTAGATTGCAAAAAGCATCCTATCCATTTCTGAAGTCATACAACAAAAGGGTCTGGACTTGGAGAAGGAAATGTCTGGGAGAGGAACAAGAGTTTCCTTCCAGTATTTGCCTTGTCAGTGCCTCGGGTGTATGTGGCACACAGTGACCACATGTTTAAGATTGCCAGCCTGGACTACTGTGTGCTCAGAAATGAAACAACCATAACCTGAAGCAGCAAGGACAACTGATTAACACATAATCCAGTGAGGCTGACAGATCTGCTAATAAAAGTTAAGCAATCTGTGAGAGGTACAAGGAACTTTCTTTAGAATCTGGGTAGACAGGGATGGTCTGCATGACTTTAAAGGAGACAAATCAGATAAGACCTTTAAAGTCTTGGAAAGGAAAGACACACTTTAAAAATATATGTCGTTTGAAAGGTCATAGTAAAGGGGTTACAAATTTTGTGGCCATTTGCACATTTGTCTTCTCCAGACTTTCCCTCCCCAAAGTAAGCAATTTCCACTAAAATAAAAACTTTTTCCTTTCCAAATACTTCATCAGGAATAAACAATATTCTTAGGAAAAGACATGAGGGTATTTCCAACATGGGTTTCTGTACAGCTTTTGAGGTTATTTCATAATCCACTTATTGCCGTGACATCTGCCTCTGGTAAGAAGCCACTGCTTTGCAGCATGCTGATGTGGTTTCATCTAGGAGGCCTGTAGCGGCAGGAAAAGGACTTTCTGTGGTCTCTGTGATACAGCAGATCAGCACTGGAGTGAAGGACCATTTGCTTATGACCAAACAGCACATGAGAAAAGAGCTTGCCATGGCTTCACACTTCTGCAGTGTTTCCTGTTTGCTGTACCCACCGACTTTGCTGAAAGCCTCTTGTAGCTCTGCCATCTCCTCCTCTGAGAAGTGTGCGGTTGATGCCATTTCTTATTTCTCTGAGTGGCAGGTCTGCAAAAAGAAAGCACTTGGTTTTATTTGGTGCCTTTTGGGGTTTACAGCTGTGATGAAAAAGAGAGGGTTTCAATTGGATTTTCAAAGTCTTGGAGCAGCTCCCCATAGCTGAAAGCCCAGCTCTTCTCTGCATCCTAAAATCAAGTGAAGGGGTTAAATCTTCCATACATGAGATACAAATCCATGTCCCTGTTGTTGTTTTGCCAGGCCCTGCTCAAATCCCAACAGTTTTTTGTTTAAATGCTAATTTAATTGGAATTAAATCCTATATCTGCTCCCTTTTGTTTCTCATGGGGAAAGTGGATAAAACCATGCTCATTCTTGTAATTCCCTTTTTGAAAGAACAGTTCACCTTGTGCTTCTTCAGCAGTGCTGGCAAAGAAGCAGCAGCCCTGTCTGCCCCTGGGCCTCTGGGCTGAAGCCCTCCGTTATTTGCACTGGGATATTTGCACTGCCTACCCTTGGATACCTAATGAGAAGCTGATTACCTTTATGAGATGAATAGACACATGGATGGATGGATGGATGGAGAGAAGCTTCTTCACAGAGTGTTCAGAGCAACCAGGTCAGGCTTCCTTGAGGGCTACTTCTCTTCCTGGTTATGGGGAGCATTTAGGGACTTGCCCTTCAAGGTACCTAAGTTAGAGCCTGAGGCTAGACGGCACTTTAGGAATAGGTGGCTGGGAGTTTTCCTGCCTTTCCTCTCATCAAAGATATAAAGCAGGAAGAAGGATTAGACTTTCCCTTTCTACACACCTTTCTTAATAAACAGAAAGGGAAAGTTTACATCCATTCACCACATCATTTAATTGATGGTTTTGTTTCATGAGCGAAGATTTGGGAAGGGCTTTAACCACGCTTACAACAAGCATGATGACCAAGGGCATGTGGGATATGCAAACCTGGGAAAAAGGGTGCTGAGGCAATCAGGAAGTGTTTGACCATGGCCGTCAACTCCTGAGCTAACTCGAGCTACCCATGCACTGGCCCCCCCGCATGCAACGTTGGATCTTGCAGCTTCCCATGCACCTTGTCACCTGCTGTTTCGACCCTCGCCTGTCCATACAGACAAGTGAGAGTGAGCCCTTCCAGCCTGCGCAGTGGATTTTTTAGGTGAGGCACAGCTTGCTCAGAACTGGCCCCACCGTTTACACCTGAGGTTTAACTGCCACGGCCTAGTGAACTTGGACGGTGACAGCAAAGTCCTAAGGTCGTAGGTTATGTAAGAGTGTCCTTCTCTGAGATGAAGACCTGGCAAGGCCAGACGAGCTCCATCAGCCCGGGTCTGAAGATAGGAGTTTTCCTTCTCCCATGAGAAAGGCCTGTCTTCACTAACAAAGATTCAGGAAGGGCTTTAACACACACATTCTGAACAAGACTCTCATTTCCTGGGTCAATCTTGAGTGACCGATGATGCAACATCCCAACATCAAACGTCTAGGCGCGATTCTGACTCAGAGGCATTCAGTCATAAGCCCTCAGATGGTAGCCTCGTGCCAGTGGCTCCTCACCCAAGTGCACACGCCAGGGGTCTGAACTGCGGTTCCTCTCATACTGAGCAGGATTACTATTGCAACAACACATCATCAGTAGGGTAAAACTAACCTGTCTCACAATGGTCTAATCCCAGCTCACGTTCCCTATTAGTGGGTGAACAATCCAACACTTGGTGAATTCTGCTTCACAACATCATTTAATACACTGCCAGAAAATACACATTATACCCCGCTGCTTTTCCATGCACCTACTCTCCCTTGCATCTATTCATGAGGAAACTGTTAATGAGATGAACTATCTATTATTCTATATTTGTGACACTCTAGTGTCCTATGTCTCTTTAAGAATTAATTAACCAAACAACTATTTAAATAGAATAGAATGGAAACCTGAGTTGGTCCTGGAAAGTCGTGGCTGTAGCTACAGTGCTCAAATGAGGAAAAGCAAATACCTGAAATACCTCATTCCTAGCCTAAAACAAGCATTGCATCCTGGAGGCTTGGATTCCAAACTTTATAGAAAGATATACATAGATAATGTAAAAAATTACAGATGTACTCTAGCTCTCTACAGAGACACAGAGTTGTGTATAGCCTATCTGGGCTTCAGATTTAATGCTCTCCTGAACTCAAGCATTGATTCTTTGTATCTGTGACAACCACTACAGATATGGCTTTGAAACAGTCCAAAGACAATTTCATGTGCTTAGCTTTTTGTCTACTGTCTCCCTGCAGTACCCTTTTTCTGCCATATCGCTGTGGTTTTAGGGTGAGAACACCTTCCAGAGAAAAACTGGTTAATTCACTTGAACCTTCATAAGTACAGAAATGCAGTATAGTCCATAATGCAGTTGCTCTAGGGGCAAGAGAACCCATGTACAGTTTTCAGCACAATCAAGCTGGTGATTGCTACTGAAATACTAATATAATACTACAAGTGGTTCTAACCACCATATTTCCAAGGATTACCTGTAAAAATCCCTGTGGTCCACTAGCAATGTGGGTAACATATACTAGGGTAAAATTAGATCCATAGTCTTCCATCTTCATCCTGGTATCTTTCCTGCCTCTGATTCCTCACTACCAATCTCTTAACGTTGCGTGCTCTTTGTTTTTGCAACATGTGGATTCCCTAAAATGAACCTGGACACATGAAAATCTCACACCATCATCAAGAAAATCCATATTCCACTCAATTAATCAAAATCAGAATTTTCAGATTAAAGGTTTTAGAGCTATTCACAATTTAAAAATACTATTATTTTTTAAATCGTTCAGGTACTAAAAACAAGCCATACACAAATCAAGAGAGTTAAAGCCCAAAGCTTTAGCAACACACACCAAAAAGTAACAAATCCATTTTCAAAAAGCTACTTCTCAGTATACAAACTGCTTATTTTGCTTAGATCATTAAAAGTAAATGATGATATTTAGGCACACAGAAATGTAAAATGCTTCTGGACAATGGTGGAGGAGGTCATGTTCAATATTTTCCTTCTGATTTTATCAGCCAAGAGCAGATTCATTTGCTTCCAGGGGCCAAACACTTTAAGCACTTCACTGACCTCAATGCAAACTGAAAATACCTTGAGCATCCTATCAAGAGGGCATCCTATCAAGAGGGCATCCAATAGCCCTGGATGAATAGTTTAATTACAGATAATCCACAAAGCACTGTAAGCATAAATTGTGCTGCCCCCGTCCAAATCATTTTCAAAATCAGTATGACAAGACAGATACAGAGAAAAAAAAACGCAGAGGATGGCAAAGGAGAATATGTGGAGAAGATGGACTATATGACAATATGAATGAGCTGAAATAGCTTATTTGAAGGGAATAGCTGTTGAGAAGCTGAGAAAGGAGCCAAGGGAAAATCAGTCAATGAGAACCAGGCAATGGCTTTGATCACAGACATGTACAGCAAAAAGCAATGGGAAAAACTGTGCAGGAGGGAGGGGAGTTTGGAAAGGAACAAATAGAAACAGCTTAGCTCTCAGCACAGATAAGATTTTGAAGGTCAGCAGCAGCTGGGAGGAAGGATCTTGAACTTGGTGCTATCAGAGATCAGTGAAAGAATTCAAGTTCCTTAGAGAGAACAAGATGAAAGTCGGCACATGCTCAGATGTGGAGGCAGGATGCTGAGGAGGGGAAGACAGCTCCGTGGGTCAGAGCAAGAAAGACAGTGGAACTGCCAACCAGAAAGAAATGGATGGTAATAAAAACTCATAAGGAATATAAAACACTGTTTGAGACAGACTGAACTTCAGATGGCATCAGGACATCTGGATTACACATTGCCTGGAAGTGACACTTCATTCTTTTTTTGATAAACAGCATAAACCCACTATTGCAGCAAAAGCAAAAATAAAGTTGTGCAAATACACTCCTTCCTCCCCAGAAGACTGTTGAGTTTCAGGTTAATGTAAAAATGGGAAAATGGTCTCACCTAAGCTGCTGACAACCATACCAAACTGATAGCAAAAAAGCCTCTATGAAGCACTCCCTTTCCTGCTGTCATTTTCAAACCAATACATTACAGCCATGCATTTAAGCGTCCTTTTATTTGACCTTATCCTAAGAAGAACCTACTATCGCACTGACGTTTTAAGAGATCTAGTAACAAACTATTTTCAGTCTGAAATATAAAGGAAGAACTATAATAATCTCAAACCTGAATGTTACTTCTAAATTGAAACACAGCAATATTGATGTCCTTTCATCTCTTTCAGTTTTGAAGCCATAATCTGAGAAGCTGCCTGGTTATACATTACTTGGCAAAGCGTGCACCCACCATGCAATATAAATAATAAATGGCAAAGCCATTAAAACCTCAAGGTTTCCAAGACTCTCATTAAGTAGTTACCTTGTTTCATGTTTTCCTCCATTTCTCTGGTGTTTAAGCTTTACTGCAAGCAAGGCAGTGAAAACCTTGAAGATGTGAAACCACACTTTACAGCTAGACATAAAGTTGTACCTTTCTCCAAAGCAAAAAAGCGAATCTCATGGAGCAACATTACATTTCACAAACACATATTTAAATCATCAAGATAACTTAACTGAAAGCTTGGTGCTGAGAAACTTGAATAAATTGCTAATATTTACTCAATTTCTACCATCAGAGCTTTATTTTTCCACACTAATACTTTGTTAATAATTCCAGAGGTTCCCTAGCTGTTGGAGAGTGATCAGACAAAGGACTGCAAGTGTGGCCCTGTCATATAGAAATTTCCTTATCTCCTGCTATCTTCTCTTCAAACTACTTTTTTCTGAAACAAGAGACACTCACTGCTGCAAAATGTAGCTGTTAGAGTTGCATGGGGCAGCATAGGAGCCCTCTGCACGGAAAACTCTGCCTTTTACTTTATGACAGCTTTCAGCTCCAGTTCCTTTTCTCTTTCTTATCTCATTCATGAATTCAATTTCCAAATGTTCAGCTTCCTGTAAGGGTTGGGGAACATTTCCCCAGCTCTTTTCTGCATTAGCCTTTCCTTCCTCACTGGTATTAAAGAGGTACCACCAGTAATTCTTCCCCAACACACAGCCTGCCCTGGACAATGCTACGAGCAGGCAGGAATAAGAGAAGTGACCTCAGAATTGTGCAGAAACTCTTGTGATAGATCTGAAGCATCTTGCAGGACAGAAAAAAAGGGAGTACCTTGAGTATATTCGATGTTTGTCCCATACTTCTTTCACCTTTGGGTCTGTCCTTATTCCTGGTCACTCATTAGAATATCCCTGATAGAATATTCCTCCACAGAAATATTTCCATCTACCTTTCTCTCATAATGTCCCACATGTAAGACCATATATCTATATGAATTTCTGTTCAAATGATGTGTCTCAGCTAGTTTTCTAGAGTATGGAAGGGCTGAGGAGGAGACAAGAAAAGGGAAGATTTATGAGTTAGGCTTTGATAGGTATTTTCCTTCTGGAGACACATTTTTGTCATTTTTGTTCTCACTAAGGGGTGAGAAAAATAGAAATTATTCAGTGCTCTCATGTTGAAAGAAGAATCAATGCTGTAACTGCAACAGTGTGGCCTAGAAGTTCCTGAATTTTAAAGTTTCATCCTGTGCGCATCAGAAAAAAACTTCTACTAAAATGCAAGAGGCAAAGCTGTCTTACTGGCAGTCACCTGCCAATACACTTTTGCATAATCCAGAATAGTTTTTCTCCTAATTCAATTTTACATTCTCAACATGCTATTATTATCATGATTCTTTCTCATATATTTATTATCTGTTGTTATGTTTACCATTCTGATCAAAATAACTTGCTTGCATCCCCACACTAGCACCCACAGCAAAGTAGGAAAGTACCATTAACACTAAATTTCCCCAGCCTTACTGCCAGTTCAGAGCAGTGATAATTTGCACTGATGGCTCTAGGGTATCCAGCCATCTTAGAAAAACAATACCATCCATACCCTTTACTCTTGTTTGGTGTTACAGCTTCCAGGCAGATTATGTGGACATTTTCTTGTGACAGGTATTTTTCTCCTAATGGAGTAAGATAAAAAGTAGAAACGTCCTTGCTGATGAGTTATTCAGCTAGGCAGCTACTCACCATGACTGACAGCATCAGCAAATACCATCAGGTTTTGAACCATGTATCAATTAGGTGCTTTTCGTACACAACAACTTTGAAAATAATTTAAGAAGCACAAATGGCAGTATCTTTGACCACATGAGGTGTTTCATAATAAAAAGTTCCTTTTTCAAGTTGTGCACTTAGTGGTACAATTATTTCTGTATTTAAATAGCTATGGATATATACATGGATAAAAGGTTTTTCTAACTACCTCAAAGATGATAAGCTGAATTTTAAATCCTAAAGTAGACAGAAATGCACTTGGCTCTATTTGCAACATGTAACCTCGATTACAGTACCTTTGGTCTGGGTGGGATCTTGCTGTTTAAATCAGCATACAAAACACAGACCGGAGTCTTTCTGAGATTATGGCAAATAGTTCCTCTCTGGTACATGATAAAGATTCATAATAAAATACAACCTTTGTCTCATAGGCATTTTAAAACTCTACAATAGCAAAATCTCACTGTGTATGCAGGCACTGGAATTATTAAGCTGTTGCACTTCACATATTTCATATACGATTTGAAGAAACAAGAGAGAAAAGACATCTATCACTGCTCAGAAAGCAACATGGTGATGCCCATGAGTTATTTTCTTAATGTTCTGTTTTATAAAGGACCTTATGTGTCAATGCAATGCCCAAGTCATAAATTAAGTATGAGTCAACAGAGCTTGGGAAGGGAAAAGCCACAGGATTTGTAGAGAAGTGGAGATCTCTTTCCAATATACCATTCAGTGGCAAGGAGTGCTAATCCTTCAAGGAAATGAAGATATTGAAGAAGCAGAGCGGTGAACCCATAAATACTCTCCTTATGTGTCTTTTATCTGTCAGATACATCTTACCAGGGAGAGTCTATACATATGCATATTATTTTTCAATCAGAGTCTGTAGAATTTTTCTTTTAAAAGAGCAAATTGATCCAGTACACTACATTTTTTGTTGGCTCACTTATATTTCCTATTCCTTTACAAACACAAGCCAGATTTAAAGTGAAAACATTTTTCCATGGAAAAAGGAAAACTTTGATTCTCAGCTGCTTTCCAGTCATTTTTGTTTCTCTCCTATTTTCCTTTTCTTTTTTTTTTTGTCCAAAGTTATTTTTCAAACCAACCCAAACTGACAAACAGCTTCAGTCAATGAGCAGATATCCTATTTGGTGAGGAAAGCCCTGCTCTACCCAGTTCCACCTTCACTAAGGTGGGGAACGAGATCATCTACAGGGCTGCTTTGGATACAGCTATGAGGAGCTACCCCACATCTGCCCCATCATGACTGGAGTGGCAGATAGGACGCAAAACCCTGGGCAGACAGATAAAAACCCTCTTATCCTATTCCTGTGAGGCAGTCATGACACTGCAGCCTGACGGCAGAAGGTCACAAAGTACTGACTCAGTCCCAAATGTCCTGTGAAAGCCTGGTATCTGATACAAGAAAAGGAGAACATGGCCTGTGTTTCCAGCTCATTAGCAAGAAAACAGTTCCTCTGAGCATGGAAAGCACTAAAAACATGTTCCAGCTGTAAAGAGGAGGTGGATATATTATTTTTAGATACAAATGAATGTTTGCATTTGACTGATTCCATCTAGATTTATGAGTCTGTTGCTGTTGCTCCCATGCCAGGAGCTGTATTCTGTCCTCAGTTTTGCAGGGCTCTTCACTGACTTCAGCAGGATTTTTCAGCACCCTCCCATGGGTGCTGCCTCCATATCTGGTACACCCCACTCATCTCACCCAGCAGCAGCGATTTGTTTCCTGTCCTACAGCTTTCCCCTTTAATAACTGAAAAGATGCACAGAGTGACCAATGCAGAGTCCTCTGCTTCATCTTGCAGCATCTGAATACCATTTCCTTTTTTCTATTAGTATATATTTTTAATTTTGTGAAATATTTTGTTTTGTATCAGCATTTCACTACAGTCTGCCCTTTTTCATGAAAGGGCTAAGAGTATGAAAATCAGCTCATTTCTGAAAGCAGTGTACTCTCCTATCTTCCCTCTTTCCTTCCCCTTTACTCATCCTCTTTTGTACTTTAAAAAAAAAGATGATTTTTACTGTATGATTCTATCAAGTAGATAGCTCTGCTCCATTCTACACAGCCCTATTTTAACTGAAATCAGAAGGAAACAGGATTTTAAAAAAAATGGTAGCATAATAAAACATGATGGAGTACACATTAGGTTCTGTGAGCAGGGAGAGAGAAGCAACACCACTAGACTTACTTAAGTACAGTGACTTCCATGAAGACTCTCAAACATTTTATAACCATAACAGTATCAGTCCAAACCCTTATTTGGTTTCATTGAGGAAGCAGATTCAAAACCAGTAACATATAAAAGCTCTTTTTGACCTACTCCATGAGCATTTCCTTCAGCTTCTCAGCTAAGTAAATCTGGATCTCATGGTCAGGACTGAAGCAGAAATCCCAGCTCTTGCTACCAGCAAGTAGGCAGGTACCTCCCAGTCCCTCCTGGCCCTCACATGTCTCCTTGATGGAGTTTCCCACTGCAGGAAAACAGGGGCGTTCCACATCTCCTGACAGCCAGCAGAGCTTCCCCAGCCCAGTCCTGACCCTCTGAAGGCCCTCTGGCCCCATTTCACAAGGGCAAATGCTCCTGTGTGACAAGCAGTAGGAGAGGAAAGCAATGCATGCTGGAGTTCCTCTACATGAGAGGTTTCAGGGCATGATCTGCTTTTATCAAGACAATCAAACAGCCATCTGCTGAGCACCCATCTGCACTCTTGATGGCCCAATCTAACCTACACTTGCTAGAGGTTTTCTTTACACCTGCAGCAGTGAGGGCTGATGTTGTCTGTGACTTTGGCTACAAAGACCTGAGGTCCCATTTGCTTCAAAAGTCAAGCTGTTCACAGGCTTAAGGGCCAGTTGTACAGGTAGTGTTCAAACCAAATCCATGTGCTGAGGAAAACGCTCTCTGACAAAACCAGCAAGCCTACTGCTCTACAGAGCAAAAAGTTCAGCCCAAAGGCTCCTGTTCACAGTAAAACCACCTAATATATCTGCAGACGTTTACAAGTTACAGATCATCCACAGTCTCAGCAGAAATCCCAAAGAAGACAAGGGACAGACCTGACCAACTTCAACAGTCAAGGTTTTAAAAGGCAAATTCGATGACAGGACCACCCCATACCACTGTTTTTAAAGCAGAAGTCCCTACTACAATCAGGCTCCATCACGAATCAGTTTTATTTATTGTCTTCAGAGTAAAATTACATTTATAAAAGCCTAGTATAAATGTCCTAACAGTCAACAGAGTATATTATAAGCACTACAGGCCAAAATACATTAGCTTTATGATCTGTGTTTTTCATCACTGGCATCACAATCACCTTCTTACAGGGATCCACTCTGTAATCTATATAATGGCTTCTTATATCATCACACCCTGCCAAACCAATGCAAATTCTGACTACCACTCTACTCAGTTAAAGACCGCTCTGCCCGATTAAATACCTCAAACACTTTCCTGAAGGTCAGCAGAAATGTCATGCACAAGACAACTGGCAAATGCTTTATGCTAGTACAGAGCCTGCACTGCTTTTTTTACGGCGACCACAGTTTCCTGTGCAGTTAAGCTGCTTGCACGCCCCATGAGGGCAGCTTGCCATAGAAACAGCAGGTGGTATGGTCTTACCTCCTGGGTTCAAGCGGTGGGTCCAAACTGCCAGAGCAACAGCTCAACCACGGCAAATCCAACAGAGAAACCAACAGAAGAAAAACTAAACTTCTTGTAGGTTGGGTAACTACAAAGCAGTGTGTCGAAAGGTTGCTGCGTCACTAGGAAGGTCCTCCTTTTCTGCAAAGCAGCTCGTCAAACCCAACACTGAAAGCCCAAGAGTGAGTGAGCCCAGAGAAGGAAGTGAAATAGATTTTGTCTTTATAAGGAAATCTCTGGTCTGCCTCTACTACTACCTACCTAGTCTACCTCACTACTCCTACAATAGCTCCACTGATGTGACTGCTTCCTCTTAGTTTTACCCCTCTTTGGTTCTGTTCTCTCTCACTAAGCATGTGCACACACACACAAAACGCCTTCTCTCTCTGGTGATAGGAGCACCATGTTCTAAACTTGCATAACAAGGTCTTCAGTCCCACGCTATGCTCAGCAGAGGGCCGGCCGCAAAGTCAAGTTGGAGTGTTTGGGGCAGTGTCTCAGTGATGGAGACCCCTCAGCATCTCTGGGCAGCCTCTGCCAAAGTTTGAGTGTCCTCACTGTGAAAATGTTTTTTCCTTACATGTGGCTGGAATTTCCCTTGATGCAGTTTGTGACCTTTTTATTCTCAGTGTGCATGTCTGACAAAAGGCTGCCTCCATCTTCTCTATAAGCTCCAATTAGGTACGTGTTAGACACCAAGAAGATCCCTCTCAGTCCTCTCTTCTCCAGGCTGAACAAGTCCAGCCCTCTCCAGCTCTTCTTGGATATCATGTGCTCCAGCCCATGACCATCCTGGTATCTTTCTACAGTTTGTCAAAGCCTTTCTTGTACAGGGGAGCCTCAAACAGGACACAGTGCTCCTCATGCAGCCTCACAACAGACACTGATTTCAAGGGTACTTTTCCCAGCTACACTGAGGGTCAAGCATAAAAGTGCTTGATAGGTGCAGATATTAACTCTCTTTCAACCCTGATGATGCAGCATTAGAAGCTTTTGCAGAACTGAAAACACAACATCAATAGATGAAAGTGATTCATCAACCCCATGGGGATTTTAAGAAATGTCCTGCCTTAACAGCAAAATTTCCACCTCTTTCCACAAGCTGAAGAATCATCCTTCAGCTTTTTTAACAACTTCTGTTCTGACTTTTACCTCTGAAAACAGGCAGCTGGAAAAATGACCAAACTGAATGGCTTTAATGAAGAAGCTGCCATTTACAATTCATCAGACCAGTTGTACCATCAGTTACATACTGATGTAGAGAGCTTTTTCATCATCTCCATAGCTGAGATCCATCCTTGACGCACATGTACATTTGCTGTATTCAGAATTACACTGAAATGTGTAATTTTGTTTTTTGGTGTTTGGTTTTGGGTTTTTTTCTGGGTGTTTTTTGGGTGGGGTTTTTTTGGTTTTTTGGTTGGTTTTTTTTTTTACAAAACAAAACTTGTAATTTTGTTGAACATGTTACAGGATTTTTTTTTATGACTTCCTTCTATTTGAAAAATACCTGCCCTATTTCATTATTTCATTACCTGATAGACTCTGCCACAGCTCCTCTTCTTTGTTTTCTAGGATATTTAACACCAGCCTGATGCTTGCCCCAACTTTTTTTCTTACAGACCTTTTGAAATCCTTAATTCTTTCTGTTGCTCTCCACAACATCTCCCTAAATGCTGCAATACCCTTACTGAGATAGGGAAGAGGACACCAAATGGTTGCATGCCTTAAATCTGACATCTTGCACAGGAAAACTAGGGGTGGGGTTTTCCTTACCAGAGATGTTTGCTAAGCACTCTTAACATCCTTTCTTGAGTTATTGTAGTTTATGCAGAAGATAGGTGAGGAACTCAGATTTTCCATCTTAGAGCATGGTATTTTATATTCATGTCACTTAGATTGAGCTCAATACTGTGTCATAAGCACACCGCACTGATTCATACCGATAAGCAGCAGCTGTGCTGAAAGAGTGCTCAAACAAGCTTAGAAATACAAGGACAGTGAGGATGAGATTTAAAGTATGATGGATTTATAAGGCAAGTATAAACAAAAGATTTTGATAGATTTACCATGGGAAGCATGATTCCCTTTCCTTCTTTCTGCCCTCTTTCAAGATCTACTGGGATGTCACTGTGTATACCTAATAATGCTGTCTCACCAAACATTGTTAAGTAGTCTTCACACACAACCCCAGCTGAAGTCCTGTTACAGCAAACCCTGTTTAAATTCTGCACTGTGCATCCTTGAAGCATCACACAGATAACAATTTTATAAGGATGTGGACCTGTTGGAGTGAGTCCAGAGGAAGGCCCACAAAGATGCTCAGAGGGCTGGAGCATCTCTCCAGTGAAGACAGGCTGAGAGAGTTGGGGTTGTTCAGCCTGGAAAAGAGAAGGCTCTGAGAGACCTTAGGGCAGCTTCCAGTGCCTAAAGAAATGGAGGCACTGTGCCAAGAAATATGGAGAGGGACTTTTTACAAGTACACATAGAGATAGGACAAAGGGGAATGGTTTTAAAATGACAGAGGGGAGATTTAGCTTAGATATTAGGAAGAAGTTCTTCACAACTGAGAAGTTGTGGCTGCCCAGTCCTGGAACTGTTCAAGGCCAGGCTGGATGGGGCTTGGAGCAACCTAGTCTAGTGGCAGGGGTTTGGAACTAGGTGGTATTTAAGGTCCCTTCCAACCCAAACCACTTTGTGGTTCTATTGGGCAGCACTGAAATACATTTTACTGGTAGGGTGCAACAGTTAACTCCTACCTGTACTTGGTTAACTTGTACCTCTGTGAAGTTTGTTTGTGGTAATGCTGACATTATGTGATTATGTGACAATGATCTCTCAAATGCAATTTCTTACATGGGGCAGGATACTACAGGCAGTCATTATAGCATCTATTTCCTAGAAGTGTGTTAAACTGTAACTCTTCAATATAAATACCTTCTATTTTACAATGAAGTACGCTTACAGTTAGCAACAGGCTAGTGTTACAGTAGGATGTACTGTGGTACTGCGTTAAATGTCCATTACTGTCCTACATTAGAAAAATAATACACTTGACTTACAGCTTCAGTCTTAGGGCTAAAATCCCAATGTAGCTACTTTGTGATCTACTTGCATAAAGGCAGAAGAGTTACAGAAGGGGAGGGCAAAGACATTAGGAAACAGCTGAAATGATTGTCTACAAGTTAAGCACCATATATTAGCATGCACTGTGTCTAATCACTCACAGAGGGAGGACTATAACTATAAAAAGACCATGCCCCTGAGCCACAGCTGAATGGCTCAAAACCAGTCCTTTCCCCTATGTTGTCACCACTAAAACACTTCAAAAGGCTTTCCCTTATTGTCCCTGTGCCTGTGGGACCTTTCTTTCCACCTACCTTTTGCCAGGTTGACACTTTCATCCTGCTGCACATCCAATGCAGCCAAGCTTCTCTGCAGGTCAGCCAGACTGTGTCACTGTGGACTTCAAACCCTTCCATCACTTTTCTCCTCCTCTCCCACAGCTTCTGCTCTCCTCTGACTTTGTGTCAGCCCCACAGCTCTGAGCAGCAATGTGAGTTCACTCTCGCCTCCTTGCCTGCCAACAGGCTCTTACCTTCCTCCCCTTCACCCTTGGGTGCCATGGGGAGCCTTAGGAAGGGTGGTGACTGCCCACTTTCTCCCATCATCAAGCTCAGATATTGCTTAGCAAGGTAAGCAGCAACCCAAAAAGCCTGTGGAAACCATGGAACCTGTTTCCACTAATGAATGGGAATTATACTGGGAGGAACTGGGGCAACTGCCTAAGGAGAGGTACAGCAGCATCTTACTTGGCAACACTGTGTTCTAGCAGCCCAGAGAGGGTGGGTATACAGGGATCCCCAACTGAGAAGGGAGTTGGGGTGTGCTACAGGTGAACAGTTTCTCTGTGGGAACTAGGGAAGGGTATTCCTGTGGTGGCCTGTTCTGGCACGACCACCTCTTCGCTCTTGCGTTTGCCCACTGCAGTCTCTGAAGACCTTTCCCTTCTTGCAGCCTCCTTCTACTTCAGGGAATGAGTTTCTCCAAAAGCCATTATTTCACAAAATCACATTCATATAATGCAATGCCTTCCTTGCCACTGCTGACAGTCATGGGTTGTGGACATGTCCTCTATCCAAGAACATACACAGGTTGGGAAGGGCATGGTGGGAGCAGAGCAGGGACAGCAGCACACATCTTCCAAGCTGACAGTGGAAGCTTCCTGCAGACCCTGCAAAGTATCTTTGTTATAACGAAAGCGCAATTTTAAATGAACCCTTTGAGGGGAACCTCCTGGTCCATAAAAAAATTAGGGCAGATAAAAATGAATGGAAAATATTTAAAAGTGACCTCATTCAAACAAATATCTTGCTCTTACATAAGTACCTATACTAGGTGCATAGGACCCTATCTAATTCCTACTACACTTTGATGTGATCTGAATCACACCTTTATTCTGTGTGACCCTGTTGTTGTTCCTGTTAAAAACAGTGACACTTCTTGTAGCAATTAGTGATTTAGGAACTGAAATGCCTGCCTCCTTTCTGAACTTGGAACTTAAATGCTGTTGAAAGGTAAATGAGTCCTTGTGAAGCAGGGGTCATTACTCCAATAGCATGTGCTCAGGTGGGGGTAGGTAACTTGACCAGATGCTGGGACTATGTTAGCAACGTACCCTGAAATGCCTGCAGGAGAGAGAATACTAAAGACTGCGGACTTTGCAGAATGCCTGTGAAAATAACACCTTTTACTCTGTTTTCTTCCCACATTACATCTGCCAGAAGAAGCCTTGAGAATGCAAAGCAATAGTGGGTGATCCCATTGAACTTGTCAGAACTTGGATACTGGGGGCTTTTGGGGTGGAATCATGATTGTCATGAAATATTTGTTGGTGCAACAAGAGCATCTCACTCTCTGTCTCAGTCTGTCCATGCAGAAAGGACTGGGGCAGAGCTATCCCTGCAGAGCTTCACCTTCAGCTGGAGTCCACCACTGTGTTCTCCCTCCCTGAGATGTGGGATCACCAACCCCCATGCAAACACCACCCTCCATGCCAGGACCTACTGACCCCCATGGACCTCTCTATCATCATTCCCAACAGTGCTCTGCACAGCTGCTGCATGGAGCTAGAGGAGGTGGAAGGAGGTAGTATGGAGGAGGGTGATGGCCCATGCCTACATAGGTGGGAAGAAAATGAAGGGAAACTTGCCACACAGCAGATCTGGGTGTGAATCAGTAACAAGGCAATGACACTTGGGTAGGGAGGGTCATCTAGGTTTGTATAT